CCTACTCTGAAGATTATTACAGAAACCCAACAATTCCCACCATGAGCAAGCACTAGGCGACACAGGCAAGGAAAAACTTCCTTTTAACAGGCAGAAACCTGGAGCAGAACCATGGCTCAGGTTTATTCGTTGTTGTTTTGGAATCACTGAACATTTTTAACCCTATAATGCCAAATGTATCATATTTGATTCGTACGGTTTCTGAAGTCTTTTGGATCTGAGACTTTTTGTTTTTTTTTTCTTCATATGTTGTTGAGGGGCCAAAGAAAGTCTTCAGACTAAAAAAATCCAATATTCTTCCTATTTTTCTTGGATCAGGCTTTAAAAGCTTAAGACCGTGGGAAAGTCTTCGTTTCTGTCTACAGTAGGGTTGTCACGATACTAAAATGTTCTACTTGATACCGATACTCAGGAAAATATTCTTTACCATTTTCGATACCACAAGGATAAAAAAAATGACCCCAAAATTTAATTGAGTTTGGACAGGTTAGTGTCTTTGGTTTCAAACTGACCTGTTGCTGATGTTATGGTGGCTGGTGGCCTACATTAATGACCCTAACCCAGACCCTGACCCTGAACCTAACCCTAACCCTAACCCTAACCCTAACCCTAACCCTAACCCTGACCCTAAAAAAAATGATCTCCAGTAGCTGAAAAGGATCTGAAAGTGACGTCCTTCAGGTTCTGGTTCGGCTGCAGGTTCAATGTCAGTAATTGTACATTTTTCCCTGACTGTATTATTATTATCATTATTAATTATATTATTATAAATTATTATTAGTAATATTACTGAGCTTTGTCCTCTATTGCTCATTATCCGTTGCTTATTGCGTTGTTACAAAACGCGTCGGAACTCTTCTTCGCTGCCCGGGTCCCGGTCGGACCGGATTGGCGGCCGGACTGATTCCGTTGACATTGCTCTGGAGGAGGAGCGGAGTCAGGTGTTACCAAACCCCGGGCATTCGCAGCAGGGCGCCACAGAGAAGTGGCAGCCCGCTCCTGTTCGGCTGTATCTCCGGGACCCGGGGCACCATGTACCGGCGGCCGCTTCAGTTCGCGGCCCGGGCCGCCGCCAACCGGTCCGCCTGCGCGAAGGTAACCGCTAACAGTTAGCTAACTAGCTAGCCGGTTAGCTAGCTGGCTAATGCTATCCAGAGGGGCAGCTCATCTGACCTATCCGACTCCTATAACCCCCCAAAAAGCGTTCACTGGGGGGGCAGAAATGACAGGGCGACACGGACTCTGTCGGTTCGTTTCCCGTTTCCTGTTTTAGCCACAAAGCGCCCTCACTGTCAGAGCTAGCATGCTAACAGAGCTAGCATGAGCTAACAGATTAGCCACCTGTGAGGTGGTCAGTCTGTTTCTGAGTAGAGCCAGACCAACTTTTATCTACTTTGACCACATAAACACTTTATTTGAGTGTTCCTCTTCATGGGTAAAGAGATGAGCACTCCTTAGAGCCAAAATAGGGTCTCTCTTACGTCCAGATAACCTGTAAAACTGTGCTGCATCTCTTTAAAATGACACATTAGTTCTGAGGATTGTTGTCCATCAGTAAAAATGATCAGTCTTAAAATGTTAATTCAGCTTA